TCCAGACTCTAGCCTCGTCAGTACCTTCACTGCGTTCCCCTGGTTTACAGTAACAGCTTCCCCGGGCTCTCCCGCTCTGCCCTGGCCCTGCTGCGGGCTAGTCACCCCTCCACAGCCAGAGAAATCTTCTCAAAACACGAGCTGGATCGCATTCCTCTGCTCCTCAAAACTGCCACTGGCCATCATCTCACTAATGTAAAAGCCAAAATCCTCATCACACAGTCTCTGCATTCCCTGAAACCTCTGTGGTTTCATCTTCTTTCTCTCTTTTCAGCCACACCAACTTGTGCTATTCATCAAACAAGTCCGTAAGCTGCTTTGAGATCTTTGCACCTTCTGTTCCTTCTGGCTAGCACACTCTTCCCTCTTTGTGACTCCCTCACCTTAAACTCTCAGTTTAACTGTCACCTTCTCCATGAGGCCTTCTCTGATTATCCTATTGAATACTTCCTATCCCTCTTCTCCCCACCCTCCCTCCCATGTAATTAGTTTTTCTCTGTAATTCTTAACTAATATGTAATTAGTTAAGTGCTGGTAAGTATTTTATTCAAGGTAAGCTCCAGAGGGCAGGGATGTTTGTATAATTCTTTGTTGCATTCCAGTACCTGGCACGGTCACTGGCATAAAACTGTCATTCAGTAAATCTTAGATGGATGAATGAATGAATGAATGAATGAGTGAATTCTGTGACTGGAGACAGCCTGACTTTCTTTTCTACTCCTAAGGGGCCAGATGCCTGGTCCCTACACTCATTTACTTTCAAAGGGACATTTCATGGTTCCCCATGATCAAAATCTCAAATTCAAATTCCTCAGTCTGACGTTCCAGAGTGCGCATAAGCTGGTCCTTATTAATACCTCCAGCTCACAAAGGTGAAAACACTCTCAGCTCTTGTCCATCAAGCCTCAGATCAACCGTCACCCCTTCCCAACTTGCTGGCCCTGAGTTAATCAGCCCACTCAGGGTCAGCAGCACTTAGGCCCACACTCACCCCACGACGCCTGGACACTGTCCCAGTACTGCTGTCACCACCTCCAAGAAGGGACCTCCTGAGAGCGGGGTCTTGTTCGCTCTGCACTCCCCAGGGTGATGAGAGCAGGGCTGGAACCTCTGGGGACAGAGGGGCTGGGACGTTTGCATCCCAAGTCCACTGCTCCCTTGGGTATCTGGCTTCTTTAGACCCAGTGCCCCCCTCCTTTCTCTTCCAGAGCACCTAGGACCATTCCCTAGGTGGCCTGATCATTCTACTCACTTGCTCCCAAGTGACCAAGGGTACCTTCCCTGGTTCCGCACTGGGGGAGATTCAGGACTGAATTTGTCAACTTGACACTCCAGTTCACTATCCTACCTAGCCCCTACATCCTCCTTCCCACTAGCACCTACCCACACCACACAGACCCAGGCCACCCCCAGAAGGCTGGGAGGTGGGCAGGAGACTGCTCCCTGGGCGTATCTCACACCATCTCCCTGCTGTCACTGATAGTCCTCAGCTCTGCCCACTAACTCACACACACACACACACACACACACACACACACACACACACACACACGGCTACATGCGCAGGCACGAACACACAAAAGAGAGGGAGACAGCATGAGAAAACACTTCTAGCCACTCCAGGCAAAGGCCAATCAGGCTCTATGAGGCAGATGGGGGTTCTCTCAGGCGCCCACATGCCACTTCCCATCATGCCCCAGCCTCTCTAGGGCTCCCCTGATGGGAGTCATTTGGAAAAACAAACCTGCGACCTTCACAGATTAACCCCTGCCTGCCTCCCTCAGGACAGGGCTGGACCTAGAGCTGCACTGGGAAAAAGACATCTGGGACTCCTGGCCAAAGAGCAGCGCCAGGGGCCCCCACCCCGAGCTCTGTCCTGACAACTGTGCTCCCTGCTGGCATCCGCTGTGGAGTGGAGGTGGGGGCGGGGTGGGGGAGGGGAGTGCCTGTGCCCAGCAGGTAGTGCCTCTGTGACTGTCTCTTTCAGGAATGTGCATCTCCCTGGGTCTCCATAGCAAGGGGAGACTGCTAAATCTGTGGAAGCCCCTCATCTGAGGGTGTCATGAGGCTCCTCAGGGAGACCCAGAGCCATGGATCTCCCTTCCTGAGCCCCCTCAGTCTGGGAGAGGATGGTAGGACTGGGAAAGGGCATCTTTTCAGCCCTCAGCTTTTTCTCCCTCTTCCCATTAGGCCCCCAACACCTCCAGGAGGGCGCTGAGTCAGCCTGGCCCCACCCCACTCCCCTCTAAGCCCTAGCACTGGAAGTGTCTAACTCAGGGTACTCACTAAGCAGCCCACCTCCCCAAGAGCTCCGAAGGAGTGGGAGAGCCTGGCAGGGTCCTGGAGGCAGGCGCTCGCTGCCGGCACCCAAGCTCGTTCCACCTTGCGGTCCCTGAGCCTGGTTCCCAGGCTGCCCGAGGAGCGAGGAGCGCAGGCACTGAATGGCGCCAAGTTTTCAGCTGCCTTCCATCCCAGCCCCTTCCAATTCAGTGGCGCTAGGAACAAGCTCGAAAATGCCCCTCACCCCACCCCCTTGCTTCTCATTCAGTCTTTATGGGATGTCAGTTTCACCCCAGTATGGAGAACTAACTGTTCCTCCTGATGGGAAGTCCAGAGCTCTAACCCCAGCCTTCACTTTGCAGTCAGTAATGCAGGCATGTTGGGCTGGGAGCTTGGTTGTTTGACCCCCCCTACTGGCTGGGGGTGGGGGTGGGGAGAGATGGGGCTTCAGGAGACAATGTGGGGACTTACCCTTTAGTGTGTCCAGGCCAAGTCCCAAGGAGAGGAGGATCACAAGCAGGCATGCCACCCATGGCCACAGACGGGGCACTGTCATTGTCCCAGCCCTGCCTCGCCCAGTCCCAGCTCTCTTCCAGGTGACTCCAGGGAGAAGGGTCCAGAGGGAAAGAGGTAGAGCAGAGCAACAAGACACCCCACACAGAGATGGTTGGAGAAGGGAACAAGGAGAGAGCCACAGAGACACAAGAGGTGCAGGCAGCTGGAGAGAGACTCAGTGTGAACCCAGAGACAGAGGTGAAGACATGAAGACAAAGATGCCCTCTGGGAGAGACTCAGAGAGCTACCTCAAAGGGAGAGAATCACACAGGTGCAGAGTCCTAAGCTAGTCAGCCCCAAGGGGGGAGCAGAAGTGGGAGGGCAGAAAGGAGAGCAGGGGGACCCCCTGGCACAGACCCTCTCAGGAGAGTGTCCTAGTGCCTGGGACTCTCAGGGCGCACTGGGCTCCTAAGCGCCAGCTGGCCACAATGGCCACAGCATCTCTCCAGAGGGCAGGCAAGGCTGCCCCCGCTCTCACCCTCCCCACCCCCAGACAAGTGGATTGGTTTGCTGGGATCACTCGGTTCTTTCCGCCCCTCCCGCCAAGCCAAAATATTTAGCCTGACAACTGAGGGAGACGGGTCTGTTGGGGGAAATAAGGCCAAGGGGGATGGTAGGCCAGAGCTGAGCTGCCCCAACTCCAGCCATGCAAAGGGTCCTTGCGGGTCAGGGTCTGCTGTGGACTTCTCTCAAGTGGGGCTGCAGGCCCAGTGGGTGTGAGCAGCCAGGGAGGGTGGTTATGGGTTCTGCGGTCGGGTAACTTCCAGCAACCAGGAGCTGCAGGGTCCTCTTGTTGAAACTGTGTGGGAACAAACATGGAATGCACCCCCCCCCACCCCCCAGCCTCCCAGGGAGCTGCACCCAGCCATCTTTCACCAGCTTTCAGACAGAGGTTCAGTCCCAATAATTCCGACCAAAATCCTTGTGGCAATAGCAGTCACTCCTTGGGGCTCCGCCTCTGTCCCCTGAATTCAGGCTGCTCAGTCAGTCTGTCTGCCCTGGCTCTGGGAATTGGGGCACTGTCTGTGCGAGGGCCCTGTCTAGTGCACTTTGTGGGCTTCGTTTGCCTGCTCCCTGAGACTACTGCCTGCTCCTCTCCAGGACTCCTCCAGCACTCCTCTTTTTTGCTGTAACCTTCTCCCCACCCCTCAGCCTGAGACGCACAGACTCCTTCAGCGCCAAAGACTTGAGAGATGGGCAAGACAAGGATCTGTCCTCTGGCGCCTTGGGTGCCAGGGATACCGAGGCAGACTCTTAAGGGCATCTTAGGACCGACCGGTCCCAGCTCCACCGCGGGCGGCTCCTGCGTCCGAGGAGCTAAGAGAAGATCTATTAATTTCTCAGCGCGGAAATCGATGCTCTTGTCAGAGGGCGATCGATGCCAGCCTAGCTCGGCTTGGCCCTACCCGGCCTGGGGGCCAGCTCTAGCCGGCCTGGTCAGGGGCTGACACTGGGTCTCTCTCCCGGCGCAGCGCAGTCGGGGCTGCAGACAGCGCCCCTGCCCACCCGAGCCCGCGGGAACTCACACCTATGCGCCCGGGCTTCTAGCGCCACCCTGTGGCCTCTCCTGGAAGTCGGCTACTGGGCTCCCGGTCCCTTCCCCGACTGTTTGGAGAGACACCTTCGCTTTCCCGGCCGTTTCTTCCTTCCTTCCCCAGGTCCCGTTTGTTCTCTTCTCGGCCCTCTTCCTTAACTTCCTAGGGGCTAGAGAATATTTCGTTTAGTTTACCGCAAGTGGCACCGCACATTCCGTCAGGCACGCCCCCCGAGAGGAGGGAGGTCTGAGGCTGGGGGCTGACAAGGATGACCTAGGCTGCAAACCTTTTCCAGCTCAGTCATCTGTCCTCCCCCCAAATGCAGCTGCCTTAAATTGGGAGAAACAAGGTATCAACTTCCAGTTTCCTAGAACTCTTCTGGAGCGTTCTGTGGCGGCCGCTCCCGCAGCTGGGGGGGACAACGTACTGGGGCGGGGGAGGGGAGACGGTCGCCGCGGACCAGAGGGGTGCGGACAGTTGGGGTTAGGAGGGGAGAGGGAGGATTGGAGCCGGAGGGGCGGGGCGGGGCCGGGCGGGGGCCGCAGGCTCCGCCCTTTCCTGGCCACTGGGTCTTTAACACCGCCCAGCGCACATGTCGCGGGAGGCCCGCAGTCGCTGCCTCGAGCGCACAGACGGCGGCCCGGCCGGGGCTAGGCGGGCGCCGCCGCGATGCTGCGAGGCGGACGGCGCGGGCAGGTCGGCGGGCACGGCCCAGCCACGGGGCCGGGCAGCCTGCTGGCCTGGCTGATGCTGGCATCTGCGGGTGCCGCACCCTGCCCCGAGGCTTGCTGCCCCAGCGGCCCTTCCGGCCTGCGCTGCACCCGGGCTGGGGCCATGGATCGCCTCTCCCACCTGCCGGGCGCCGAGAACCTGACCGAGCTGTGAGTGTCCGGCTGGCGAAGGGGCGCGGAACCGGCGGGCTTGGCCGTGCCCCGAGGGCGCGGACTCGCCTCCGGCTCGCCGGGTCTGGAGGGTGGCACCGCGGCGAGAGGCTGGCACCGCGCAGCCCTCGACTGCACGGGCTTCCCTCAGCGACCGCCGCTGCGCAGGCAGCTCCGTACATATTGTCTGGAAGTTGCCTCGGGTGCAGGACAATTGGAGCGCTAGCTGGTGGGGAGCAAAGGGGATTCTCCGTGATTAGGTAGGAGAGCCCCCAGCTTCTAGAAACCGCTTTCTGGAGCTTGGTCAGGAGTCTAACCTGCCTCGTGGAGGGGGTTGGTTAGCTTTGGAGATCCCCTTAGTTGGGCGCCCTTACCAATATGTCTTTTTTCCAGGGGAAACCCGCCTCAGCCCCTTCTTGAGGGGCAGGCAACACCAGTTCCGCACCTGAAATTGGAAGCGAAGTTGGTGGGAGGTGACAAGGAGACAGCTTGGTGGTTCCGCTTGGCTCCCATTTCCTCCACCCCTAACCCCCACCGCATTTTGATTCGGATGTAGGAAAAGAGCCTCTCTCCTGTTCTCTGTCTCCACCCCACCACCCTTCCTACCCTTGTCTCCCTCCTTGGGGCAGGGAATCAGGCCCTGGCCAGAGATTTTCCTCCCTTCATGGCCCAAAGACGGAAGGAATCTCCAGCATTCTGCAGTGTCTGACATCCTGCAGTAATTGTTACAAAACACTCAAGTACTTTTTAACAGCTGGTGAAACCTATAGGACTATTCTGTAATCTGGCCTGGAGGTCCTCAAGTATCACGGGTGATGCAAGAAAACACTTGGATATACTGTGTGACTGCAGGGCCAGCAGGACTTATAGGAAAGGGAAGGAACTACTAGAAAAATCCTACTCTGGTGGACAAGAAACCTGGCCTTATGCAGTGCCGGGTTGGAAGGTATTTGAGTCAGGAGCCATCACTGTCTGGAAGTTACTTGAGCAGCCTGCAATAATTGGCACCGAGTTCCTTGGGCATCTCGTGGTAATTAACGGGAAAGTACTCAGTCTCTCTCTGTGGGCCCCAGGGAGACCATGAGGAGGGGAGACAGCCAAGCCTGGGCCTAGGTCTCTGCAAGGTGGGAGGGGCATGAGATCCAGGCTCCCACCCCCAGTGCCCTTCAAACCAGGGCCCAGGCACCTGCAGGTAGCCTGTCAGTGCTGGCATTTCCCAGTTCCTTTCCAGTCCCAAAGTGGTTGGAGCTTGGGGGCCTGGACAGGCTGGCTGGGTACTAAGACATAGGAAGGGTGGTGAGCTGAGATGTCCCTCTGGGTGGGGCCGCAGCCTGACCCCCTGCCTCCGACTGCAGGTCCCCTCCTCCCTCACCCGCAGAGCTAACGAGGAGATAATGGACTGGAATAGACAGATTGATTGTGAAGCCAAACGAATGAGGCAGCTTTGAGTATGTTGCCTGACAGCTTGCACACACCCAGCCGTTCTCACCCCTCCCAGGGTCTCTATGGCTCTAAACTGGGCAGGGCTGGGGTGGGTGGGCAGGACAGGGACCTACTCTCCCCTGGTCACTGGAGGTTACTCCCGAGGCTTCAGGGGACCAAGTGTCTAGCACCTGTCTGTCTTACTGGGGTAGAAGCCGGTAAAGGGGGAGGTGAAAAGGGATCCCGCAGGCTGCTCCTGGTTCCCATGGGTTATGGAAGTAGAAGGTAGGGAGTAGAGCTTGTGTGTGTGAGAGAGAGAGAGAGAGACAGAGAGCGAGAGAGAAACAGGGACAGAGAGAGAAACACACACCCACTGACATGCCCCTGCAGGGCAGCTGAGTTCTCTGGAACTCTGGGCATGCCAGACCAAGAAACTGGGCAGGGCCCAGAGGTCAGCCACCCCCAATCCTGACTTCTTTCTCCTCTCCCTATTTTGCTTTCTCAGATTCTCTGTCCTATTCTCTGACTCTCTCTCCCTTTCCTTATCTGTTCCACTTCTTGCCTGCTTCTCTCATCAGTTTCTCCTTCTTGGAATTCTCTGGTTAACTCTCTGTCTCTCTTGTTTTTCTGCCCCACTGTCCACCTCTGGTCGAGCCTTCCCGTCTCTCTCTCTCACTGTGTCAGCCACTGTCTGTGTCTCTATACCCCCCCTCTTAATGCCCCTCTCTCCTTCCTGGCCGCCTCCTAAGACAGGGAGGGCTTCAAGGGGTCCTTGGCTACCAGCCTCTCTGCTGCTCCTTGCTCTACTGAATGTTGTATGCGGGGGCACAGGGGTGGTGTGTGAGTGTGGGGGAGGGTGGGGTGTGTGTGGCTGTTTGGGTGAGCAGGGATAACGGCCCCTGCACAGGCACGTTTGCGGGCACGTGTGTGTAGACAGTGGGGCTCCCTCTGTGCTGGGTGGGCCCTGGCCAGGAGAGCCGGGCTCTCTGTGGAGCCAGTGCTTCAGTGCGGCCCCTCTGCTGAGCGTGTGCAGGCAGGACCCTGGCTGAGAATGATCTGGTGCATGTTTCTGTGTGCACATGAGGGACAAAAATGCTTGTGTGTGAGGGTGTGGCATGCACTGTGTGCACGTGTGCGCACGGACGTGTGGGAGGGTGCATCTGTGCGTGTGCTCATGCCTCTGTGCCTGTGTATCTGTGTGCGGCAGATGTGAGAGTATGCAGGTGTGATGGTGTAAGGATGCACGTGAGGAGATGTGATTTGTGTGCGCACACCTATGCGTCCATGTGGACGTGCATCATGGGGTGTACCGTGCAGGCCTGCACACGTGCCCATGTGCTTGTGAGGGAGAGGGGTGGGTGGGCGCAGGAACGCTGTGTGACTGCCCTCCCCTCTTCCCACAGCCACATCGAGAACGAGCATCTGCCGCGTCTGGATCGGAGTGACCTGAAGGGCCTGGGGGAGCTGAGAAACCTGTGAGGGGCCAGGGATTGTGTGGGTGTGGGGCTCAGCACAGGGCCTACGAACCAGAGCTTGGGGGTGGGGGGCTCAAGGGCCTAGGACCTGGGAGGACTTGAAAGCTGGAGAGGAAGAGCTGGTGGATGTCAGAGAGCTCCGGGGCTTAGGGGTCCAGGCAGCTGAGGAGGCTTTGAGGGCGTGGAGAGCAGGCGGGGGCTGACACGCAGGAGAGTGGCACCCAGCCCTGGGCTGACGCTGCTGTACCCCCCAGCACCATCGTGAGGAGCGGCCTCCGATTTGTGGCGCCAGATGCCTTCCATTTTACTCCTCGGCTCCATCGCCTGTGAGTGGCTGGGGCTGGGCAGAGGGGGTGGGAGGACACCCAGACATGGGTGGCTAATGGGCTTGCTCGTCCCTGGGGAACTGTTGTGCTGAAGGCCCCGGGCTGGTGGAGGAAGTAGCTTCACCCATTCTCCTGAGGCTCCCTATGTCGCCCCTCAAGGACGCTTCGCCCACCAGCCTGAGGGCCTTGTGCTCCCAATTCCAAGCTTCATGCTGCAGGGACTCTTCTCATGCCTGCCCGGCTTGCTTCCTGGGGTTCAGATGCGCTCCAGTCCAAAGGGAGGATGGGCGGGAGCAGGGCTCCAGGTCCTGGTGCGGCTGCCATCTCCCAGCCCTCCCTGGCTCTGGCTTTCCCAGGCAGGAGCTCTCTCACCACGGCAGGTGGAGAGGTAGGAAGAGATGGGAGCTGCCATCTCCCACCCTTGGAGTGGTGCCAGGTACTGTAGACTGGTATGTCCAGTGATTTGGCAACAGCAAAAAATGAGTGCTGAACATATTTCAACCGACTGTACCAGGGCTTCAGTGAAAAATGTTCTCAGGGACACCTGTCAATGCTACTGCCAGTGACTCTTCACGGTCGACTGGTGAGGGAGAGTCCTCCCCATCTTCTGCGGAGAAGCATTCTGAGAGTCAGAGAGGTTATGTTCTGAGCTGAGGCCACACAGCTGTGCGCGGCAGGACAGCGCCCACACCCGGCTCTGTCTGGCGACAAAGCGGGTAACTGTCCTGAGCTCTGTGTTGGTGGTGCCTCTCTCACCCAGCCCCCACACACTGAGGACAGCTAGGCCCGTTCAGAGGGCAGGGCAGGCCCGCAGAGGCAGAGGGCCCAGGAGCGGCAGCCTGGTGCAAGGCACAGAGCAGGAGGGCTTGGACCTACTCTCCCGTGCTGGGAGCTGGCTGATGACTGTGCTCACTTTCTCCTTCACCATGACCGGCCCTTCCAGGCCACTTTCCTTAGTGCCAGGGAGGGGAAGGAAGGACAATCGAGGAGGGGACCTGAGGGAGCACTTTGAGACCCTTGTCATCCGGTAGGGGGCAAGGAGTGTGGGAGCCTGTCTCTGCCCTCCTCCACCCAGCCCCACTGTGGGGAGGGGAATGCAGATGGAGCCCCTTCCCCCAGCTGGGGCCTCAGCACTTTGCCAGCTGGGGCCAAGGGTGGGGGAGGGGGCAGCGGCTGTTCCCTTAGACCCCTCCCTGGGGTGTGGGGAGGGGGTTAAGTGGGGTTAACCCTTGTTATCCCAGAGAGAAGAGTGGGACTGGAAGAGCCTAACCTTGCGGTTCTGGTTGGCAGGGTTGGGAGGGGAAGCCAGCTGTCAGCTTCGGGGCTCCTCCCTCCTGGCCTGGGTCAGAGTGAGGGCGGCCTCAGGGTTCTGTCTGTCTCAACCCCCTTAGGAATCTCTCCTTCAATGCCCTGGAGTCTCTCTCCTGGAAAACCGTCCAGGGCCTCTCTTTGCAGGAACTGTGAGTAGGGGCTTCCATGGCCAAGAGGGCACTTTGTGGGGTGCCGTGGGGAAGAATGTCCCTGGGGGCTGCCGGTTCCGCTATGAGCTGAGATGGGGGCCCTGTGCATACCTGTGAACCCCCATCAAAGTAGAGGCTGAGGGATTGCCTGCTGGGGGGTTATTGACCTGGGGGTGCATGGAGTTTGGGGGCCGAGAGCCAAGGAAGCTCTGGGCTGTGCTGAGGAGACCTATAGTCTCTCTGCTTGTGCCCAGGGGCGTGGCCCCACTTTCCCAGCACACTGTGCACCTGGGCAAGATGGGATGCAGTGCACCCCCGGTGGCAGCCCCCCCAGGAAGCAGTGCCCTTCACTCCCTTTCACGGCTCTCAGAGCCCTCACTTGGCTGGTCCCTGGGGCGGCCACTTTCTCCTAGGCCCACCCTCCTCCACCTCCAGACATTCACCCTGCTGTCTGACTGTCTCCCTTTCTCTTGTCACTCTTCACCCACCACCTGCCCGTTCCCTAACTGTGCTGGTGTCCCCCAAACTGCCAGGGGCCTGTCGGGGAACCCTCTGCACTGTTCCTGTGCCCTGCGCTGGCTGCAGCGCTGGGAGGAAGAGGGTCTGGGTGGACTCCGAGAACAGAAGCTGCAGTGTCCTGGGCAGGGGCCCCTGGCCCTCATGGCCAACACCAGCTGCGGTAGGTGTTAGAGGTAGGAGTGACTGGGAAGGGTGCTGCATGCTGGGTGGGGCTTGGGGAGCAGGCACTGACGGGATCTGGGGAACACTGGCAGGAGCTGGGAGAAACTAAAGGGTCAGGAGGTTTGGGGCCCCCGAGGTGGGTGGGAGGCACACTGCACTGGATGGGGTTTTGAGGCCACTTCTGTACTAACACCCCTCCGGCGCCCTGGGTGACCAGGCGTGCCCACATTGAAGGTCCGGATGCCCAATGCCTCTGTAGACGTGGGGGACGACGTGTGGCTGCAGTGCCAGGTGGCGGGGCGGGGCCTGCAGCAGGCCGGCTGGATCCTGGCAGACCTGGAGGAGTCCGCCACTGTGACTGTGAGCAGCCCCCCTGCTCCCCAACTCCCTGCACCCTGGCCCCACAGAGTCCAGGCTAGGTACAAGACCAAAACCAGGGAAAGAGGGACAATGAATAAGCAGCTCATAGATGGAGAGGGATGGAGGGACCCTGAGGCTCACACTGTGGGGAAGTCCGGAGTATACGGCCCCCAGGGGCCCGGGCTCTGCAGATTTTCCCCCGAAGGACCCGAAGGCCCTCTGGGAATGGGATGCCAGCTGGAAGGTCAGGGGTCCCCAGGCCCTCACCTGTTGGAGCCCCGAGGGGCTCAACAGACCATTTCTCCTCCCCCTCGTCTAGATAAGGAAACTGAAGGCCAGAGAGGGGGCACAATATCTGGTACTTTAGGGGCATTCTTGGGGGGCACCTTCTAGGCTTTTTTGAAAGTTCTGGAAGCGACATCCTCTTGGGTGTAGGATGAGCACATAGTAGGGAGGCAGGTGTCTGGTTCCAGCTTCCTCACTAACTCATTCTTGGAGTGACTTTTGGAAAAACTCTCATTCAGCCTGCACTTTGGTCTTACCCGTACACTGAGGAGATGGACATGCTGGCCTTCTGATGGTCTGCCTGCCTCTGGGTATTCTTTGGCCTCTATCGCTGTTTTCCAGACATGTCTTTGGGCACCTTCCCAGCCCTTGCCCTTTGTCCTCAGGCTGGGACTGGCAGCCAGGAGTAGCCACGGTGATTCAGGAGGGCACGTTGGCAAGGGCAGCAGGGGCTGAGAGTAGGGTGTGGCTACCCCAAAAGCCGCCCACACGGATGGGCACACAGGTCTGACCACTAGGAGGAGGCTGGCCAGTGGGGTCAGGCGGTGTTGTTCAGTTTGGAGGCCCTCAATTTTGGGTGGGGAGTCAACCCCTAACTTGCTCTAAGTTCCTGGAACAATATTGAAGGAGAAACTGCTGGAAACCTGAGCAGGCAGTTCAGGCCTGGTAGTCAGACCACTGGCCACTGAGTGGCTTCTCCCATCCCGGAGGCCAAAGCCACCTAGAGTGAGCACTGGAAAGGGAACGAGGCAGAAGCAAGAAGTTGACCATGACCCTCTATGTAGAGATGTGTGTGGAGAAATTCTGGGTCTTTGCCTTCTTCACTGGGAGATGTACATGCTTGCTACCATTTGTTTTTTTCTAAAACTTCCTATAGAAATGTCACACCCTGGTGGGGAGGGGAGACTGACTATCCTGGGAGAATGAAGTGGGACAGAGCAGCTCAAAGGGATCCCACACCCCAGGGTGATTCGGAGGAAGTGGACAGGCCAGAGAAGCTCAGAGCAGGGCAGGGCTTCATGGAGTTTGTATGAGAGATAGATCTGGGATCCTTGAAGGCACACCTTGTAATAGGAGCCCAGAAAACTTCTCCTCTGTCCTTTATTCAAGGGATACCACGTTTACAAAACTTCCAGTTAAATGAGTTTGTCCACAGCTTCAATCGTTTTCATGCACATAGCTTTCTCAAATGTGAAAAGATCCATTTATCTACTTTTTCTGCTTACAAAACAAGAAAACTATGCTTCAGCTACAATATGATTGCCGTACAGTTACATAACTTCTTAGGAGGAGACTCTGAACCTGATTCAATCTTGCACTGATGATTCAGAATCAGCCACTTTGTCTCTGAAACGCTGCTCCCTGTTTTCAGTGGTCACAGGAGACCACATGTTGCGGTGGCCTCTGCGGCTGCCCGTCATCCGCACCTCTCTTTGTTTCTCGTCCCTTTTAGGTTGAGACTAAGTTTGGAGAACAGCATGTAAAAGAGGAGGGATGAGGGTTTGGTTCTCCGTGAGTTGTGTGTCAGTTTGTGAACTGGGGATTCATGACACCTGTTTAGCTGCTCAGATAGCTGGTTTTGGTTTGGGGTACTTTGTGCCTGTTTTGCGGTTATTGGTGATATTCTAGACTTTCTGGACCATGGAGTAGGTGGTTCAGGGGCCAGGCCCCAACAGACTCTAAAGGAGCTGCCCTCTGCTATCCCTCCCACACTCCTCCTTCCCTTCCTCTCCCAGGTCTCCTCTTTTCTACCTGGAGTCAGAGGGACTCCCCAAAGACGTCAGCCCTACCTACCTGCCCAGTCCCCGGGCAGCCAAAGCTCTTCCTGATTTTCACTTCTCTCCCTGACCCAGCAATCTGGGGATCTGCCGTCCTTGGGGCTGACCCTGGCCAACGTCACCAGTGACCTCAATAGGAAGAATGTGACATGCTGGGCAGAGAACGACGTGGGCCGGGCTGAAGTCTCTGTCCAGGTCAACGTGTCCTGTGAGTCCCAGTGCCTGGCCTGCGGCCGCCCCTCCCTTCCCTGAAATGGGGTGGGGTCGGGGGAGCTGGAGCAAGGAGCGGTATGTGGGTCTCCACAGCTGCTCCCACCCAGCTGTTTCCAGATTCCCATGAAAACCTGATCCTTTGGGGGAAGAACTGGGTCTCGTCAGGCCAGAGAGACAGAGATGGATTTCTTTTTGGCCCCTGTCCAGGCCTCCCTACCTGAGGCCCTAGGCACCAGCTGCTCCGCGCCTTGGTCTGCTCTGTGTCCTCATGACCATCCACCATTGCCCTGGCTCTTGGTTTTACAAGAAATTCTCCACCAGAGTTCCTCTTTAGGCTTGCCGTCTAGTTTCTCTAGCCCTGCCCACAAATTACACCCATCCTCTTCTTTTTACAATTTTCCTTTGTTGTGAAATAGCACGTAGACATCCACAGAGAACATGAGCGCTTTGAAGGACAGCCGAAGTTCCCACCAGCCCTCCTCCCCGGCCTGTCCTCTACCCCCTTCTGACTTTTGTGCGATCATTCCTTTGATTTTAAAAATAACCTTATGTAAGTATTTGTCCCTATCCAAGTTTCACCTCTAGTCTCACCTATTCTTGCCATTAGGGCGGTGGAATCGTACTGCAGGTGTTTCGCGTCTGGTTCCTTCCGCTCCACATTGTATTTGTAAGATCCCTGGTGTTAGCGGGAGAGGCTGTAGTGATTCAGCTCTGCTGAACAGTCTAGGGTGCGCCGGCTGGGGCTTCAGTAGTGACTGGTATGTTTACAGTGTGCTTATTTCAGTGGGTGAGGGGCTTTTGTTTCTTTACCAGGCTAGATCTGTATCGATTTCATCTAAGCCAGTTTTTGACTGCTTATTTTTGCTTATTTAATGCAAAGACCCCCTTCCTCATTCTCTTAAGTTTAATCACACTTAATTTTTCTATTTCCTTGTCCAAAAGATTTCATGTTTCATTTCACGAGCTGGCACCCTACTCCTCTGGGTTATTACACATTTGCTTTAGATTCACTGTGGACATTTCTTACGCCTCTACCTTTTACTTATTTATTTATTTTTAAAAAAGATTTATTTAATTTATGTATGCATACAAGAGCTGGGGTATAGTTACGGTGAGAGAATTCAGCAGAGGTACAGTGGGGAGCAGAACAGGCAGATTGACTGAGGGGAGCAGCGAGCCAGACAGGAGAGGTCTGCTGTGCCATGTGGGTCAGCTCCCGGCCAGGGGATTTAGAACTCTGCTGCAGCGGCTGTGGACAGCTTCACACTTCGTAGTGCTGAGACTTGACCCCTTGTGCCACCAGGAAGGGCCCTGTCGCTACATTTTATGATCTGCTGCCTGATAAATGTCTCTCCTTGTGAATTATTTTGGGCCTGCCTTCCAGTTTATCTCAGACCCTCCCTCTGCACTACCCCTACCCCGACAGGTGGGGCACAGGTGGGGCACGCCTGCGGCTGCCCCCTGACTCCTCCCCACTGTCTCCGGCCCACAGTCCCGGCCAGCGTGCAGCTGCACCCCGCAGTAGAGCTGCATCACTGGTGCATCCCCTTCTCGGTGGACGGGCAGCCCGCGCCCTCGCTGCGCTGGCTCTTCAACGGCTCTGTGCTCAACGAGACCGGCTTCATCTTCACCGAGTTCCTGGAGCCCTTGGCCAACGAGACTGTGCGGCACGGCTGTCTGCGCCTCAATCAGCCCACCCACGTCAACAACGGCAACTACACACTGCTGGCCACCAACCCTTCCGGCCAGGCCTCGGCGTCCATCACGGTTGCTTTCATGGACAACCCTTTTGAGTTCAACCCAGAGGACCCCATCCCCGGTGCGAGAGCCACCCTGAACCCTGCCCCCACTCCCTGGCTGCCACCTGGGGACGGGCCCACTTCCGCTGTGATTCTGACACACACCCCCACGCCCCCAGAAGTTGGAAAGCCTGGAGAGAGAGCCTGGCACTGGGACAGCCATGCCAGCTGGAAAAGGGCCATGCGCATTTCTCCTGAGGTCCGGCAGCCCCAAGCTCCCCTCCCACCCATCTCCCCTTTGAAGGGAGGAGCCCCAGAGGGGAAGGGGACTCCCTGCTCTCCTCCCCATCTGACTGCTTTCTCTCCTCCCTCCTGCTGCAGTCTCCTTCTCACCAGTGGGTGAGTAGCCCAGGCTGGAGGGCAGATTGTGTCTGGTCCCTGGAACAAGGCTGGGCAGAGGGTAGAGTCGACCTGTCTTTTGAGGGGTGCACAGGGAACAAGGTGGGGAGTTGTTGGGGAGACTGCACCAAGGCCTACCCTTCCTGCCCTGTGTCCCCACAGACACTAATAGCACGACTGGAGACCCAGTGGAGAAGAAGGATGAAACACCTTTTGGGGTGAGCTGGGAAGTAGAAACCTATGCAGTATTGGGGTCTCCTGGCCAGGCTCGGGCCCATCTGCTTGTCACTCTGGTCAGGGCATAGCAATCTCTGCAGGCTGGCCTGCGCTCTGCCGGCTCTGCCTCCTGGCTGTGGTCCAGGGCCAGTGGAGAGGCATCAGGACCTGGGGGCCTGGCTCCGGGTTCCTCTGCAGGATGGAGCAAGTGTGCTCTGGGGCAGCTGTGAGAGAGGAGAGCGCTAACCACCCCCACCCCCAGGTCTCCGTGGCCGTGGGCCTGGCTGTCTTCGCCTGCCTCTTCCTTTCTACGCTGTTCCTTGTGCTCAACAAATGTGGACGGAGGAACAAGTTTGGGATCAACCGTGAGTGGGGGGCCACAGAGAGGCTTTCTGTCAGACTGTCCTACCGGCTTATTCCTTCTGATTTTTGGCTCTGTGCTCTGGATGGGGGGCTGTCCTAGCCCCCTGACTGAGGGACGTGTGAGTGTGAGTGTGGCTGGCTGGTGCAGGGGGAGTTTCAGAGGCGGCGACTGCTAATTGGTGGCTGGACTGTAGTCAAACATTAAGTGGGTCTGGGAGGTCTGAGCTGGGGGAGCAGTGGGGGAGTTCTTCGGTGGCCCTGGGGGCCTGGGGTTGGAGAGAAGCCAGACAGAGAAAGGCCGCAGTGCCTCCCTTTCCCCCTGCCCTGTTTCTGTGTCTCCTTTTCTCCCCTGCACATTATGGGCGGGCTCACCTGGCGTCTGCAGCTTGGCGAGGGCAAGCATGTGCCTTGGACATGACCCCCTGTGTGGCTTTTTCTCCCTAGGCCCTGCTGTGCTAGCTCCGGAGGATGGACTGGCCATGTCCCTGCATTTCATGACACTGGGTGGCAGCTCCTTATCCCCCACGGAGGGCAAAGGCTCTGGACTCCAAGGCCACATCATTGAGAACCCACAATACTTCAGCGATGCCTGTGAGGAGTCCTGCAGAGTCTGGGGAGGGTGGACCTGTGCATGCGTGTGGTGCACAGAAGCCCCTGTGCCATTGCCTCGGCCCAGGCTGAGCTGTCCTTCTCATGCCAGTCCTCCCCTTTCCATGCCATGGCGTGGAGCTCGGTGAAGGAGCTCAATTTCCGCCCCCCCCATTCACGCCTGGGCCCACACCTGTGGATAGCCCACAGCCCTGCCGGCTGCCCTGCCTCGTCCTTCCCTCGACCGCGAGTCTAAGCCTACAAGTCCTCTCCAGGTGTCCATCACATCAAGCGCCGAGACATTGTGCTCAAATGGGAGCTGGGCGAGGGCGCCTTTGGGAAGGTCTTCCTTGCCGAGTGCCACAACCTGCTGCCTGAGCAGGACAAGATGCTGGTGGCCGTCAAGGTGAGACCCCGCCACCCTGCAGGTCTGGACCCCACCTCCGGATCTCACCAACCCAGGACAGGGTGGTGGTGGTGGTGGGCAAACGGGTCCAGGGCCCTCAGGGCTCCAACATGGGGCTGGGGAGCCACAGCAGGGCGTGGAGGGTTGGGCTGGTTGCACTGGGGTCTGTCCCTGCGGGCTCTCCAGGCGCTGAAGGAGGTGTCCGAGAGTGCGAGGCAGGACTTCCAGCGAGAGGCCCAGCTGCTCACCGTGCTGCAGCACCAGCACATCGTGCGCTTCTTTGGGGTCTGCACCGAGGGCCGCCCTCTGCTCATGGTCTTCGAGTACATGAGGCATGGCGATCTCAACCGCTTCCTCAGGTGTAGTGCCTCTCTGGACTCTCCTGGCCTGATCCACCCCCCTCCCTTCCTTTGGGGCACACCCTGCTTGTCTTTGAAACTCAGGAGGGTGGGGGGTGGGGCAGGGACACCAGAGAACAGGAGAGCACCATTCCTGTTCCCAGGGGCTGAGGAGCCAGATGGGTGCATATAGGGATGGTCCTGGAGAAGGGCAGAGCCACTCTAGTCAGGGAGGTTACACTAGCAGGAGTCGGGCTCAACCTCAGGATGGCGGGCTCCACACAGGGGGTGTGCAGCTGTGTGTGGGGTGCGGAAGCCAGGGTGTGGAGAACCCCAACAGCGCTTACCAGGTACCTCCTGACTCCAGGCCTGTGTGGCAGACTTTATAGCTCATCTTTCTAAGCCAGCTGTGCTTATGCATAGAGAGCTGGGTGAGAAGGCCTTCTTTGCCAAATAGCTTTCCCCTCTGACCTCAGTTTCCCCCAGGAAGAGGCGATAGGGCCCGTGGCTCTGGATGAGAAAGTACTAGGTGGTTGTCTAGTTGATGGTCATGCTTTGGTTCCCAACACCGCTGTGGGAGTAAAGGGTTGTTCCTGCAGTTAGGCTGGGAACTCAGCTGGGAGGGGCCCAGGCTCTGGCTGAGGTTATCCTCAGGGGTGTGTCGGGAAGGGGCCACGCCTGATGTACAAGGTGGATAGACTGGCCAGAGGGGCCCCCTTGCTCACCAGCTACAGGGTTGGCTTGGTGCTGGGTGTGGGAGAGCAGGTCATCTGGGGTTCAGGCTGTGGCAAAAGCAGCTCTGAATGCTTGCTGAGCACAGGCGGACTCAGAGCGGGAAGCTGTGATTCTGGAAGACTTCCCTAGGGGACTCGCGCTCCTTCTCCCCCTGCACCTCTGTACTTAACAATTCCTTCTGCCTGGGTCTCCTTCCTGGGTCACCTGTCACCCGGCCCAGCCCCGCCCCTGTCATATGGCTTACCTACCTCTCTTCCTCAGAGCCTCAGCCTCCACTTAAAAGCCTCTTCCTCCAGGAGGGTTTCCCTACTTTTCCCCGACTGCACGTCTGCGACCCTCACAGGCACCTACTCTCCCCTTTAGCTTTGGCACATTGCGATATTTAACAAGTACTTCAAAAAAGTATCCCCCCCCCCAAAGTACCCATTTTTGAGTGGACGAGGAGAGTAGGAAAGGGCAGTACTGACAACCAGCAGCTCTGGCAAAGGTACAGAAGCAGGAGCTTTGGGGACTGGAAATGAGTGATCAAGGGTTTAGATGGAGTCATGGCTGCGAGGAGGAGGGCATCCTGGAAACCTCTAGAAGGAAGGTATGGATATTGAGGGCAAAGGTGAGAGAGACAGGAGTCAAGGTCTCCCAGATTTGGGCCTCAGAACCTGGTGGGGGAGGTTGTCTGTGGCTGGGGTGGCTTAGGGGTGATGTTGAGCTCAGCTTGGCGAAGGGCTGAGTCCCAGGTGTCTATGGCAAGAAATGCGGGGGTCAGTAGCAGCTGGATGCTGGTGTTGGAGTTCAGGGGGCCTCTTAGGAAAGCATGGGTCCTGGTGGAAGCCCTGGAGATGTATACACCTGGAGACTGGGGGGGACTTGGCCCCGACCCCAGCCCCTACCATTCAGTTCTTTCCTTCTCCCTATTTCCTCCACCCCTCTTCCATTCTGGCTCTCTGACTCCCCTTCCTCAATCTCCTCGGGGTTCCCCTCCTCTCACTTCAGGTCCCACGGACCTGACGCCAAGCTGCTGGCTGCTGGGGAGGATGTGGCCGCAGGGCCCCTGGGCCTGGGTCAGCTGCTGGCTGTGGCCAGCCAGGTCGCTGCCGGGATGGTGTACCTGGCCAGTCTGCACTTCGTGCATCGGGACCTGGCCACCCGCAACTGTCTGGTGGGGCAGGGACTGGTGGTGAAGATCGGGGATTTCGGCATGAGCAGGGACATCTACAGCACCGACTATTACCGCGTGAGGGCTCCTTCCCCCCGCCCGTCCCTCCCTCCCCCGCATCTAAACTGTAAAACACCCAGCACCCCAGTCCCCACCGAACCCCCGCCGCTCCCGCGGCCTGCCCTGGCCGGCCCCGCCGCCTCTTCCTCGGCGAGGGGGGTCTGAGACGCCTGCTCTGGTTTTTAACTCCCCTGCTGCCTCCTCGCGCCTCCCCCGGTGGAGGAGGGTCTGTCTCCTCTGCCCCGGACAGCAACGGCACCATCGGTTTTTCCCTCTTAGCCCGGGCGCGCAGAGCCGCGCTTATTTATTTTTAATGGTGGGGCGAGGGGGCGGGGCGGCTCCGGCTGGGGCTGTGCGGGCGGGCGCCCCCTGGAGGTGACGCGCGCGCCGCCGCCGCAGGTGGGGGGCCGCACGATGCTGCCCATCCGCTGGATGCCGCCCGAGAGCATCCTCTACCGCAAGTTCACCGCCGAGAGCGACGTGTGGAGCTTCGGCGTGGTGCTCTGGGAGATCTTCACCTACGGCAAGCAGCCCTGGTACCAGCTCTCCAACACCGAGGTCAGCTTCTCCCGCGGGGCAGGGAGCTCAGCCCTCCTCCTGCCTCATTCCACCTGCCCCCAGGCACCCACCTGCATCCTGCCAACTCTGCGAGCCCTGCTGCAGGCTCCGTTCTCTCCTTGCATTGCTCCCCTCTTCTGTTCTTGCTTCCATTTACTTCCCTGAGCCTGGGAAACCTCAAAGCGCTTCATAGTGGAGCCCAGGCCCGTCCCTAGCTGCATTTTACAGACCTAGTAGTAGGCGCTATCAGGGTGGAGTGGAGAGGCATGGGGAGAGCACATTCAAGAGGGCCTGGCGCTGCAGCAGGAAGGCTGCAGGTCAGACAGTGGGGAGGACCGTCCCCCCCCACACACACATAGCAGAGCCCCGAGCCCCAGGTGTTCTGCCTCCCAGAGCAGCTCCCCCACCCCCGCCTTGGCTCGCAGCTGTCAGTTTCCATTTCTCCTCCTAATGCAGTCTGTTCCCGGGAGGCTGCTGGGGTGGGGGAGAGGGTTATAGATTTTAATTTTCTCAAGCACTGAGAGAAGGAATGGAATTAGTGCCGCTCATAACCCAAGTCTCTAATGGGGAGGGGGCAGAAAGGGGGAAGAGCTCCAGGCTCTGCTTCAACCACCTCCCACCACCACCTCTCCTCTGGCTCCCTCAGCTGTTCTGTAGTCCTTCCTGGAGTCTAGCCTTGACTTTTCCTGCTGCAGCTTCTTTTCAGAGGAGTTAGGTTCCCAAAGATTAGTACCTACCTATCTAGCCCTTTCTCCAGGCGTGAGAGGCCATGTTAATCTGCAATCCTGCTCTGTTCTCTCTGCCTTCTGGACTGAGGGGTGGAGGACCTTTCCCCTCCTCTCTCCAGCCTTCCACACTAAACGGATGGATTTGGCAAATACCTTGGCCCCTCCCCTTCCTCAGCCCATCTGGCCTGTCTTCTGAGGGCCTGATTTCAGCCCTACTCCCAGCCCAGTCTTCTCAGAGTGGAGCCCTAATCCTGCTCAGTGTCGGAGAGGAAAGAAGTCGGAGAGGAAAGAAATCGGAGGGCTCACGCATCCTTTTAGATCATCCCTCCCCTAGAGGTCCAGACTTGTGAGGGCGGGAGGCGAGGCCGGGGTTGGTGCACCTGCCTGCTTGCAGCCCCCTGTGCACTCTTTCTCTCCCTCCTGTGGCCCAGGCGATCGAGTGCATCACGCAGGGACGGGAACTGGAGCGGCCCCGCGCCTGCCCTCCGGAGGTCTATGCCATTATGCGGGGCTGCTGGCAGCGGGAACCCCAGCAGCGCCACAGCATCAAGGATGTGCACGCCAGGCTGCAAGCCCTGGCCCAGGCGCCCCCCGTCTACCTGGACATCCTAGGCTAAGGGCCGAGCGGGGGCTGGGGCCGGGTGGCCAGGATACTGGGGCCCGCCGCCCCAGGAGCCCTATAGCTCCCAGCAGCTCTGGGGTAATCTCAAAGCATCTAACTCCCTCAGCATGCAGGAGGGGACAGGTGGAGCTGGGAATGGAGGACATGCCTGCTTCTCCAGGCAGAGTTCTGTCATAGTAATTATATTTATTATCCCTTGGTTGTGTCCCTTGCCAGTTTTTGGGATGACATGGTTCAGGGAGGGAGGTGTTGGGACCGAGGTTGGGGGATGGTGTTCCGGCATCCCACCCAGCACCCGTCTCGGCTGCCCTCTGCCACCTACCCCCACTCCATGCAGCTGTCACCTCCACCTGTGTCTCAATCCCAGTCTCATGGTCACCACGTTCACCTGGTGCTGGGCGGCCTCTGATCCAGTTTCCCAGGCCTTCGGGCCCGAGTGACCCACCTCTCTAGTTCATGTTTAGGAAGGCTGCAGGGTGAGGGACGGAGGTTGGGTGTTGGGGAACAAGATGGCGGCACTGGTGGGATGAGTCTTCTTTGTACTGATGGGCCCAGGACACCAAGCACAGAGCAGAACAAATGGGTGAGAGAGAGGTGTGTGTGTGCAGGTAGCAGGGAACGGTGAGGGAGTCAGATCCCTGCTCGGTCACCTCTGGCTTTAGGTGCTTTGAGATCGGCACTCAGAGGCCTGGGACCAGGCAAGGTGGCGCTTTCCTAGGGAGAGAGTTATTTGCCTGTCCCCTTTTGCCCAAGGGAAGAAGTGGGCTCTTGCTACCCCCCCCCAAGAATACTCCTGGCCTTACTGAGGGGCTAGAGGCTTCTTCCAGCACAGAGGCTGGGTGAGGTTCCCTATCCACATGGTAGCAGGGGTCCTGAGCCCTGCCCCCACCTTCCATGCGAGCTAGGGAGGAGCAGTCCCCCCCAGCCCCATCACTTCCAATCACCTACCCACCTCCTGCAATAGCCCACACTTGCACGGCTCCTCGGCTAATCTTGTAGCTGTCTCATGTCCCTGGGTGTCCGGCTCCCCCCGCCACAGTGATTCAATCTGGGCTTATCACCCTTAGGCCTAGCCCGGTGGTGTCTGCCTCTTGTCCAGGCTGGTTAGTGCTAATGGAGGTCTGACCCAGGGCCGCAGGCTGATTGATGTGTGTGTGGGGGTGTTTGTCCCTGAGGGCCAAGTTCATAGGCCCTCCTCTCCTGTCCCGGAATGGGTGGGCCTGTCTGCACCACCCATGGAAGGGAGGGCTTACAGCAGGTGGATCATCAGGGGAGGGTGGGAACGAGTGTGTGGGGGTGACAGGGAGACAGGGCTAGGGGATCAGATCCAGCAGGTGAGCCCAGGATCAGAGGCAGGGAGAGACAAAGTAGAGGGGCCTGTCCCACAGTCCTGCAGAGGGAGAGGCACAGGGAAGGAGACAGAGGCAATCAGGTAGGCCAGATGGACACAATGAAGAGACAGGGCAGAGGAGTGCTGAAATTAGACGCAGGTGGGACAGTCAGGTGAATCAGAGGCTGTCCTGGAGAACAGCATGGTGTCCTGAGGAGTTTCTATCTCACCTGCACCTCCACCTCCTCTCCCTGAGTCTGTCTTCAGGACTATGGTGGGGAGGGCACCTCTCACGGCTGAGACTGGGTAAAGGCATGGGCCTGAGGTGTGGCCCTCCCTGAGCAGGTTAGGGCCATTGTCAAATGGGCGGGAGGGAAGCCGGGTAGCAGATGGGACCTGCCAGGGCACCTGGAGCATTTCCAAGGTCAAGAGCATTGGGGCATTAGAGGCTCTTAAAACCACAGTGGAAGTATTGCTGGAAAAGCTGAGCAGGTGATGGGAGGGGTTCTGGGAATGAGATTTGGACAGGGAAGGGAAAGTTCCGGGTGAGTATGGGAAAGGGAACCAGATAGCTTTCATCGATCTGGGGACAGCAGCTGGGGCTGAGCACTCTGGCCCCTTCAGGCTTCTGGGCCTGCCGCCTTTACCTGGGTGGCGAGGAGGGCGATGCTTATATTCTTGGTGTCACAGCTTGAGAGCCCCCACTTTCTCCCCTTTACTGATGGACACGCAGATGAGCTCACTGCCCACCATGCACGGCTCAGGCACACGGTGCGGACACGGGCAAGCACAGCCCCCCGCACTCAGCTGTTAGATTCCACAGTGAGGAGTGATGCCCTCTCCCCACAACTAGCTCCTGGCCGTCCATTGCTGCCCCCACGCCGGGGCTGAGCACCAGCAGAGATGGACTCCTGCAGGGGGATTGGCAGCGTGGAGCTGAGCACCACTGGGGAGCTGGCACAGGGACAGCAGACGGACGCTGTGGGGCTCAGCCGTCTAGGTCCCCCAGACCTGGGGGAGGCCCTTCTCTCCACCCGGTAAGACACCCACCCCACCATGGGGAAGGGACCCAGAGCGCCACTCTCTACAGATGCCAGCTCCTTGGTACCAGCTCTGGAGAGGGACTGGTGTTGCAGCAGCCGGAGGGGGTCTCCCTGTGAACCCAGAGCAGGGGGATATAGGCTCTCAGAGGAACCCAGGGGTCCAAAGCATCTCCGACCCTAGCCAGCCTCTGTCTCCTTCCTGCCTTGCTCCCTCGGGGCTGGATTCCCGACAGGAGCTCAGAGCTCTGTTCAGGTTTCCAGGAACAGTGCGGGGAACATTGGGCCGCCTGGGTAGAACAAGTCCTGTTCCCCACCCCTCTCAGACCCCAGGCTGAAAAGAGGCCCTAGAGAGGACTCCAGACTTCTGAGCCCTGGACTCGGTACACACCAGCTGGTGGAAGCTGGTCTTAGCAAATCCTTGAAGTGGCCTTGGACAGGCTGCCCATGACGGAGGGTGCGACAGGCGCTGGAGGAGCCAGGACCCAGGAATTTGCCCTTCCGGTCTCCTGCCAGGCTGAGTCACCAGCAGTGCAGTCCCCCAGGAGAGAGGCTGTGCTGAACACAGCCCCTGCCGTACTCTGTGCCCCCACCTCAGCCCAGCCGACTCCAGCGCTAAGATGGAAAGTTTGAGCAGCTCGGCTCTGGGGCCATGGAGAGCAGAGATCTGGAGCCAGGAGAGACAGAAACGGCCCCTCCCAGCTGCAGGAGCAGCTGCAGAGAGGCAAAGGGGACATGGAGACCGAGGCCAGCCCGGAGCACTGTAGAGGAGCAGGACATGCCTGCCTGGCATCGAGAGAAGCAGGGAGGCCGAGGAGGGGCAGCACAGAGCCCACGCTCCACGGCCCACCCGCCTTCTGGGAGCCCTGTCCCTAGGGAGCCCTGGGCCAAGAGGCTTTTCAGCCGGCCCCAGCTGCATCTGGCCCCTCCAGGGCACGCGTCCTGGTGCGCTGTCTGGCTGCTGGGCTCTGAAGCCAGAGCGCCTGGACTGCCACTTACCAGCTGTGTGATGTTGGGCAAGTCACTCGACCTTTCTGTGCCTTAGATTGTCATCCACAAAAAGGGGCGAGGAGAGCCCTGAGCTTGCGGTGTTGGGTTTAAACAAGCCTCCTGTGTAAAGCTCCTCCCACCGGCTAGCCTGTGGTGGGGGCTAGGTCAGCGCTTGCTGTTTCTCTTACTCCTGCTGTGACCAGGCTGAACAATGAGTATTGGGCCCTGACCCTGGTCTCTGGGGGTGGGCGCGACAGACTGATGTACATGATGCAAGAAGGGCAGGGCCGACCCCCCACACCCACGGCGCCCCCAGTCTCCTGCCTCTGCTTTTTCTCAGTGGGAAGCGACCTTCCAGATCACCTTCTGGAAGCCCTCGGGGTTAAGGGGAGAGCCTTGGCAGCCCTGAAGGTTGCTTCTGAGGTCACAAGTCTTCACAGCCTCTGAATCAGGTCCCCGAAGGTCAGACATGTTCCAGGCTTTCTATTCCTCATCTTGTGGCCCCCCTCCCTGAGGGCCGGGAAGTCCCTCTTGCTGTCTACCCTCATGTGTCCCACCTAGCTGGGAAGGGGTTACTCAGCCCCAGGCCCGCCCACTGCAGATCCCAGTTGGCTGGGGCTGTGGTCAGAGCTAATGTGGTGGAGAGTTGGAGGACAAGGGGGATAAAGTTATTAGTGCTTCATCTTTGAGGGGTATCGATTGTTGGGCCTCCAGGCTCGCTTGGTCTTATAACAGGGCTCCCGGGGGTGGTGGGAGGGGCTGGGGGACTCTCAGCGCCTCCACCCCATATCCTGAGGGGGCTGCTTGGGGGAAGCGCTGCTGAGCTACAGATTCAAGATGGCAGTGCGCGTGCGTGTGCGTGCGCGTGTGCGTGGGGGTGGGGCCGCCTCTTTAGGGCCATACTCAAGCAGCCCACCCCAGCCTGCGGTCTCGGAGGGAGGCATCTCACCTGCCCTCACTGACATCCACGCACCTCTTTTGGGTTCCTGCTTTTGCAAATTGTATTCACTTACCCGTTCCATCCGTGTGCATTTCGTGGGGGTGGTCCCTCACCCCTCCCGGGGTGACCTTGGCCCCAGCGCACACGTCACAGCGGGACAGGCCCTGTGCGAGGGTCTGTGTGCACTTGCTCTCTGTAGCGTCTGCCGGGCCCTGCCCTCTGCCTGGAGGCAGAAGCCGTCAGTGAGGAGGGACCCAGGGACCTGGTCGCCCACCTTTACCAGGAGCCCCTCTTCCAGCTAGAGGTTCCTCAGCTCCTGACTGACCATCTCTAGGGATGGGGATAGAGTACACTCCATGGGTGAGAGCCTCAGAGAAGGAGGTGGGGGTTCAGGGCCTTGGGACAGAATCGCCCTCCCCCCCTTCCTAAGCCCCCGCCCCCACCTCCTTGCTCTGGATTCCTTTCTTTCTCTCTTTTTCCCTTCAGAAGCAGGGAGCCCTGGGGGTAACTTCCCTGGCCAGGGGCTCAGACTTGGTGCCTTCTGCCCTGGGGGGGGGGGGGGGCCTCCTGCCCCTGGGCTGGATTGGGGGTAATTAACTACCAGGAGGAGGGTGTTCAGGGCTGCTGTTGGCACTAATCAGAGCTGGTCCCCAGCGAGGGATAGGATTCAGCTGGGGTACTCTGTGTGTGTGTGTATCTTGGGGGAGTGGGGGCTCTGAGGGGCTTGGAGGACTTAGCCTGTCAGCCTCCCCCTTTTCTCCCTCCCAGCCCCTTGCCCTTGTTTTGCTGGAAGTCTCTTCTGCTATCTCCCAGTGTCCTGCTGTGGGAGGGCCAGGACCCCTCCCCAAGTCCAAGTTCACCCCTGCATGTGAGGGTGGGCCAGCCACCCCCCACCCAAG